TAACTGTTTCACAGATGATATCGGATATGTTCCTTATGTCGTAACTACAATACCCGCCCCTTTTCACGAATGTGACCTACCGAATTAGACTATTTACCGGATTTGTAATAACATAAGCAACACGACGGGTGCCACATGTGGAGCAGGATCTGCTTACCCTTCCGGAGCACCTGAGATCACCCCCAGTTTTTGGTGGTGTTCGTGTTGCTTAGTATTTAATTTTCTATGGTGTGTCATCTGTACAATTATTTGTCTATTTGTCTTTTTATTTTTGGCCATGGCGTTGTCAGTTTGTTTTTAATCTGTGAGTTTGACTGTCCCTCTGGTATCTTTCGTCCCTCGTTTCTAACTTATGAAGGATCTTGTTATCCAGACCCGATCGAACGCCTTGCTTACACCAGCAAATGTTAGACTTGCAAAAAATCAGTCGTCTAAAAGGATCTTCCAGTTGTTTTCAATATGTTTTCGACATTCTATTCCAAAATATTCCGATATTTTTTGTATAATTGGATTTAAAAAAAAAACAACGAATCGCATACATTAAAAATAAAAGAAATTGATTCCCGATACGATTTTAATACTTTGGATAATCAATTGTTGGTCTATTCTGTTCGGTATATATTCAGGTTATTTACCAACCAAAATGTTGCTTCCATGATCATGTTCAATGTCAGAATATAGGTAAGTGACATCAAACTAACATGAAACTAATTTGACCTTGGGACTCAATATTTAAGTACCCGTTTGACATCAAGGTATGTGTTCTGTGACGAATAGTTCAGAAACTCGCAATTTTATCTTTGATGAAAACATTTTACTCTGGTTACTTAAGGTTGTAACAAAATATCACAAGGAGGACGACAACAATATGTGTAGGTTTAAGACAATTTGTTTCATTAACACATAACAAAATGATGTGCTTTATTTCAGAACAAGCATGTGTTGGATCTTTGTCATTTTGGCAGTTAATACAAGTCCTTTTGTGCATTAAAAATAATTAAAATATTCTTTTTCCTTTCTGTAAGACCATCGTCATATCTTTGACTAATTTATTAAAACTTATGGGGACTTTTTTACTGTTGTGTGTTGGACATTGTACATAACAAGTTTTGGTTATTGTATTTATGAATTTGTCTAAGGTTTTATTTCTTGGAGATCTTGAAGTGTATCCATTTTGTTCTGAATAATAGATTTATCGACTTTATCATCATCTTTATCAAGATAACATTCGATTAATCGTAATATTTGGCAGTGTCCATACTAATCTTTCAATTGATCTAGGTTTGTTTTTGTTGTACTTAGGGGGATTTTATTAACGACTTTAATATTGCTTTCTCTTTTCTTTGATAATTTTCGGCTAAATAAACTTAATATTTTTTGTTCAGGATTAATTTCTATTATCCTCTGGGTCGCAAGTATGGGCGCTGGTCTAAATGACGCTTTTGATCTCGAGTAGCTCTGAAGTTATGAAAAGTTTCTTCGCTTTTTATGTTAATTCGCCAGTTTGCAAAGTTTTTCTTTTTCTATGTCTTCCAATGGTATATATATGGTCCAATCTGGGACATGTTTATAAGACATCAAATTCCTTTCCATTCTGTCTTTGAATTGTTTATGTCGGGAATTGTCACCTTGATTTCGTCTCTCTAAATTAACTTTTCTTTTGGACGATTTATACTCTTTCTGTGAATGTCTAAATCGACAGACAAATCAGGTCTTACTTTTAAACCATCTATGACGAGAGATATCCTTTTGTTGTATGCATTAATTGAAGTAGGCTCTTTTCAATATTGTCCTTACTTTTCATCAGAAATTTCATGTTTAAGTCTGATGATTCATATTCTTCTTCGTTTGCCTGAACTCTAATCTTAAGTAAGTCGATTTCTGCTTTGAACGGATTCATGACCGTCCGCACCTTCCTAATTCTTTGTTTACTCGTCGTAAATTTGTTTAGTTAATGATTCGATCATTGAAGAATTTATGAAAAGGAAAATATGAAATAATGGGATGTCGTGTTAAGTATGCATAGGTATGATTTCTTGACAAAAGACTCATCGGTGACGCTCGCATTAAAGCAGTTAAAGGGCGAAATAAGATATGAAGCTGAAAAGTATTGGAGACCAAACATTCCTAAAGGTATTGCCAATTGCAGCTATGGTTATCTATTCCTGGGAGTGGAGAATCCTTAGTATTTCGAACAATTCGTAAACAATTTTGTAAACAGTTAATATATTAATATTCCCATATAAAGATTATTAATGTTAACACATAGGCGCTGACTACTGTGCTAGTGATATTTTAGGGGAGGAAATCTTCACCAGTAGTGGCATCGACCCAGTGGTTGTAAAACAAACTCATCAAAGAAATCAGCCTTATAGTTTTGTACGCCAGAAGCCAAGGTTTTACCTCTTGAGGATTTGGGAGTGAAATCACGTAACAATAGTTTAATCAAATTCCTCATAATCTTTATCAAGATGATATTCAATTTATCATTATGTTTGGCAACATCCATATAAATCTTCTTTCAATTGATTTAGGTTTGTTTTTTATGGTAATGAGGTGAACTTTATTCCCTGCTCTTATATTGCTTTCTCTTTTATTTTATAATTTTCGGCTAGATAAATTTAATATTTTCGTTTCTGGAGTACTTTCTATTATGTGCTCGGCCTGCAAGGGTGGGCGCTGGTCTAAAAAAATATTTTTTGAGTAGCTCTGAAATTCTGAACATCTTCTTTACTTCTTCTGTTAACTTGCCAGTTTGCAAATGTTTGCTTATTACATTTTTTTAATGGTATATCTTGTCCAACCCGGAACATAATGTATTTTTTTCTATCGTCTTTCCAGGTCTTATATTTCTTGATAAGAGAAAATAAACTCCTTTCCATTCTGTCTTCGAATTGTTCAGTTCGGGAATTGTCACCTTGATTAAGTCTATCTAAATGATCTCTTCTTTTGGATGAAATGTTTCGGCTCTTCTACATCCTTGGCTTTGAAGTATTCTGCTTTGCCGATAAAAGTTAATCCAGAAGAACTCTTCGGACGTATGACATTTATAACGTCTTGTTTTCCTGTTATAATTTTCTGTGATGTCTTAGTGGAAAGGGTTGTTGTCGTTACTTTCGAAAAACCCATTCTTATATTTATCAAACAAGATCTTACTTTTAAACCATCTCTAACGAGATATATCCTTTTGTTGTATGCATTCTGTATTCATTAATTGTAGAAGCCTCTTTTGAATATTATTCCTCTTCGTTGACCTGAACTCTCATCTTAAGAAAGTCGATTTTTGCTTGGAACTGATCCACAATCGTCCACACTTTCTTAAATTTGTTTTAATTAATGATTCGATCATGGAAGAATTTTATAAAAATGAAAAATATGAAATAATGGGGATTCGTTTTAAGCAAGCATAAATCTGATTTACGGGGTTAGCTTTACCTTTGGTCCTTTTTTATTGTATCAGTCCTTCAACGTTTGTAATTGGTTTTCAAATATTTTGGCCTCTAACATCACTGAGGAGACTTTAAATGTCGAAATGCGCATCTAGTGCAGTAAAGTTGGTACCGTTAATGTTATTTTTATATGTCCACATAAAGGGCTATGTTCATATTCATATTGGTGCACTAAACTTCTAGCTAATAGCTATCATGGAACATCAAAGATTTCAAGGACAGACAATAACAAGACATTTTCTTTGCCAAAGCTTTGCTTATAGAGTTTGAAACCCTATTTCTTTAAAGTTAAATCATGTATGCATCTATTTGAGTTAATTTAGATTTTTAGGAAAACATCATTTAAATGGTGCCAGTGCCATGATAATGTTAGCATTTGTTCTAACTTCAACCATATACCAGTATGACATCTGATCTAACAAAGAACGCGAGAAAGAAATGAGAAGATACAGCAATGTATATATTGTTTTATATATTTGTCCCAGCGTTCCCATTTGCTAATTAAACATTGTCAAAGCAGCTGTTTTAAAAAGATTTGTTGTATTAAAGTTTTCCTTCAGAACCGATTGATAAATATTCCGTATCAACTTCACAAATAATAACTGATGGTCTTAGTATAGATTCTAGGTATTGACATTGTTTATCATATTAGTTACGTGTTATAGTGTTCTTTTTATTTGTCTTTGTATATTTTTAACCTTTACTGTTTAGTTCATTTTTGGTAGTATCGGTATTTATACATTCCGCCAATGTTATATTGTGCCAAGGTCAGTTTTTGTATTCTTGTCTTTCATTTTTGCTGACGTGCTTTGTTTATAATTTATAGTGTCTATATAGATATGCCATTTTGTTTTTCTTTGTTGACATAGTTGTTTGTTTTATAGTGATTAAGATTATACCACAATGTTGACTGCTGTTCCCAAATTTTTTACATTTGTACCTATTATGTCTGCTCACACATTATTTTTAATATAATGGAATTCTATGCGACTGTCATACAAGTGAGAGGTTTAGCTAGCTTTAAAACCAGGTTTAATCCACCATTTTCTACATAAGAAAATGCCTGTACCAAGTCTGTCAGGAATATGACAGTTGTTTTCCATTCGTGTGATGTGTTTGAGCTTTTGATTTTGCCATTTAATAAGGGACTTTCCGTTTTGAATTTTCCTTGGAGTTCAGTATTTTTGTTATTTTACTTTTTTTATACTGTACGGTTGCCGAATTTATAACGAAAGGTGTCATAGTTATGGCCACTGCATACGGAAAATGTGTCGGCGAATTAGAGTACGGAAAGACAATAAATAAGTAGCACTACATTTCTGAAGATTTGGATAAAATAAAGGATTTCCTTTTAAAAGAAAATCTATATATAATGTAGTCTTAAAACTTTACCATTCAAGTATATAAAATCTAACGTTTTTGTTAAATTTGAACTATCATACGACTTTAATAATAAACATAGGTAAGAACTCAAAGTGGAGTCAATTACGTTTTTCAAATATATTTAAAATCGTTATAGATCATAATGTGATATAAACTAGTTAATAAATGCATGTATTACAAGTGGTAAGTAAAGGAGAAAACCCGGCAGTTTACTTTCGTTTTTCTACTGTTCAGCAACTTGACTTTAGAACATTTATAGAAGAAGGCTTGCATATTGTAACAAGGATTGTTAATAACATCAGTTTACGACGGTAATTGTATATATATAAATTTATAATAAAAAAATTTAGTTAATATTTTTTAGTATATTGTGCAACATTTGGTATATTTACATATCAATGCTTGGACACAGTTTGTCAAGCATACTAATATGAAAAGGAGAAATAAACATGGAACATTCAAGTAGTTATATTTACATAAAGCATTATTTCTTTTTCGCTGTGCATTACCGTTCTTTACAATAATCTTGATGATATGCATTAGTATTCCTGATTATGCCTTGGGATTTTATTATGTATGTTTCTTTGTTCAAATACTTTTGACTTTAACCAACAACAGTCATGTTATTTACGTAATTCCTCAGTACTATTTATAGAAATTCCTAATCAATACATGATATTTATGTTTTACATATTTAAATTTACAGATCATTTAATACATAATACAATATATTCAAATTGATAACATCTATACTGGTATTAAAGCTGCGCACAAACATGTTGTACATAAAGATTAGGAATTGTACTATTCTGTAAAGAAGGTAGGTTATGTTAATGTGACCTGTATAGCAAAACATTTCTATTTAACAGTAGCTATCATTGTTTTTATCGAACGCGGTGGTGATGTTGATTTTCAGTTTTTTTATCGCCAGAAAAGGTATATAGATATAATAGTAAGTAAACGTATGAAACAGTAAATATAAACCGAAATTTAAACCGATGTTAAAGTGAAAATAGTTGCTTACATTCTGGTCCTTAAGTCGGTCTCTAATGAATAATTGTCTCACTAGCAAACACCACTAGCTACCACATCACCTTATTGTTATAATTGTGATTTATTCGTAAGTGTTCTGTCACTCAATAAACTACATCTCATATATTCAAGTGAACTTTAGATTAAGGATACTACCGAAAGTAGAAGGTCTACTTCATATCTTGATCTTTTCCTCGATATTGACATAGATGGATAATCTATGACAAACATGATAGGATTTCAACTTTTCAAATTTCCCAGCAGTAGCAGTAGCATACCTTCTGCTCCATCGAATGGCGTAAACATATCTCAGTTAAGGGCATACGATACAGTTTTGATCCCACGGTGAATTTTTGACGAAAGTTTGCATACAAGCTATTAGTCAATTCAGATATGTAATAAAACATATACCTTCATGTGCTACTTTTTGCGATAAATGAGGTTTTTTGGGGTTTTTTTTAAAGATAAACGCAAGCGGATTTTTGCAAACGCATCTGGAATATCTACTCTATATAAGTGTGCTTTGAATTTGTGAAACAATTCTTTGGAAATTATTCATTTTTCTCACATTTCAGGATTTGAGTCAAAGAACGGCATTTTTTGCTGTATATTTATCCAATTTAAAAAATTTCATTTCATTTGTTCATAAAAATTGGCACAAATAATCTTCATACATAATCAAGCCAAATGTCATTTTTAGAAGGAGGGGTCCATGAACTCGTTTTCATGTTAAATCAGTCTGAATGATAAAAATCTGTCGAAAATGCATCTTTTCCCGATAGATCACAATTTGACGTCGTGAAAAATATCATTTTACGTTAGCAACGTTATACCTCCCCTGTAACTGTATCGTATGCCCTTATTACGTTACTCTCGTGCATGGTCACATTAAACAAATTCATTAACAGGGGAAAGCTCCGTACAAAAACATCTAACAGAGTTATGAAGAAGAACGACTGAAATCGAACTTGCACACGCGTTTAACGGTCACCATAACGAATTGATTGACCAAGTCTATGTGTCGGTGCTCAACTCTCTAGCGACTTTATATATCAGTATAGTCGTCTGATCTGATTTTACAGATTGTGTCTCAGTATAAATAGTAAATGAACACTAAAGGACCGCATTCTTATAATATTTCATGTCAGTAAAAAGCTGATTACTGGACTAGTGAAACCCTCCATGACGGAACGTTCACCACCACTTTCATCGACCCAGTTGTTGGAAAAACTTATCAAAGATACCGGCCGAATATAGGTTTATAAACGAACACACAGATTCCAATAACAAATACTCCGAAAAATTATTAATGCAATGGAATTTCTTATCGAAAAAATATATTTCGTCTGGAATGATAGACACTTGCCATTAACAGCTTGGTCTTGTACTCATAGGAAACTATATTTATTCTTAATGACAGAAAACATATTGATTATTGCTAGTCACTCTTTAACCCTTTTTCCATCAGTACTTACATCTAATCCCACTGAAGTTATAACTAATGCTAATATAACGACAACAAAGTACACTATATAGATATAAGAAGATGTGGTATGAGTGTCGTTGAAGATGACGCTGATGATGAACTCAAAAATACGACCTATGACCAATAGCATACGCAATAATTTCAGTTTATGGTTACAAGTTTCCAATAATGAGTTGTAACATACCATCTGCTGAAGCCTAATAAGTTTCTTACGGTATCTAAGCACATGTGATAATATGTTGGAGCATGTTATAATTGTGTTGAGTTAACTAACAGAGGCAAACCGTAGACGCAAAAAAAAAGAAGACGGAAAGGTCAAGCAGAAGAAAGATTGAATTGATAGCATCACGTGTTCTACGGTCGACGTCATTAATATGAGAATTGCTCTGCGTCTTGGTTTCTGGACTTATTAGAAACATTTCAACTCCATCTTCACGATTATCGATTTAGCCTTATTATCGGTTTGTCATAGTCATGTGTTAAACACTTGCTATCGAATTATATAGATTTGACATTATATGACGGATGATACATGCATAGCAGGAGTTAAAAGCCTGTCAACACGTCTGTTATTCATGTATTTCCGTCATTTTAACTCCAATGTTATTAAGACGCATACAGGCATTATGTTTTCTGGTCTATATGTCCCTGCGAGTTTTCGTCTGTTCAAGATGTCCGTTCGTCTGTCCCGTTTCAGGTTAAACTTTTGGTTTAAAGTATTTTGCCATGAAGTTGAAGTTACATAAACTTAATCCAGAAATGCTCTCCGGACATACGAAATGTATTTAGTTTATTTTCATTTGCTCTTCAACTAGGAGACAAAGAGAAATAACTTTAACTCAAATAACGGCAATTGAAAAGTATCAATAATACGGTCATATTCATGACTAGAACAAGTAACGCGCAAATCAAGGCAACAGTAGTGTACCGCTGTTCAATTGTCATAAATCAATTAAGCGAAAACAAATCCGGGTTACAAACTAAAACCGAGGGAAACACATCAACTATAAGAGGAAAACAAAAGAACAACAGAAACACTGAACTGCAACAAAAACAAATGCCAACATATTTAGAAACTGACTATTTGACAACAACTGCCATATTCCTGACTCGGTACAGGACATTTTAAGCAAAAATAATGGGTTGAACCTGGTTTTATGGCTAGCCAAACCTCCAGCTTATATGACAATGTTAAAAATACCGCTAAAATGACAACATAACGTGACAGGAATACAATACAAATAAACGCAAGAACACCCAGATCAGGGAAATACATAAAATAGAAATATGAATTCGGACAAAAATCATTTAATCGGAGAATAGACAGATATATGTTTTCTTAAGAAAGGACCGAAATATCGTCCTCCATCTAAAATAGATTGGAAACAGTTTCATCAGATCATTAAAGACGCTCTGTCTGTCTACTGTTAAAATTGGCGTAAACGTGAAAAATCTGATAAAAAATCTCTAGACAGTTATTTGAATAAAATTATGAATACTGTTAATATTCGTATATCTCATTTTGAAAACAATTCTGAAATTAGTAACAGGGTCCATGATATTCCCATTTCCAGAATAAAAAATAAACTCCAAGTACTCGCAAAGCGGTTTGTGTTCGTACCGGCAGACAAAACAGCAAATAATGTAGTGGTGGTGTGACGCATATACTACACGGAAGTTCTCCAAAACGAAATTACAAATTCATCTACATTCAGGTCCGTACGCTCCACAGAGAGTCAAATTGCAAACAAGCATATCACTGCCACTACCCAGCTTAAGGCCTCTTCCGAACATTTGAAAGTCCCTACTATGTACTGGTTACCTAAATTGCACAAAAAACCATTTAAATAACGTTTCATCTCCGCATCTAGTAAGTGTTCTACTACTAATCTATCAGTGCTTCTAACTACCTCCCTTACTACTATCAAAGAACTTGTTATTAACTTTTGTAATAGAGCTTATGAAAATAATGGTATTAATTATTTTTGGAGTGTTAAAAATTCTTTAGAGGTTTTAGATAAAATACATGCTTTTGATGGTCCTTTTAATTCTGTTGACAGTTATGATTTTTCTACTCTCTATACTACACTTCCACACAATCTTATCAAGAAAAAGTTTTCATATTTAATTAAATGGTCTTTTGAAAAATCTCATTACAAATTTATTTGCTGTAACTCGTATAAAGCCTTTTTCTGTAACGAAAAAGGAAAGTATGCTAGATACACTTACTGGAAATGTGAAAATATGATTGAAGCTTTAAATATTCTCCTGGACAACATATATGTACGTTTCGGCGATAGAATGTATCGACAGGTAGTAGGTATTCCTATGGGCACTAACTGCGCCCCTTTAATAGCAGATTTATTCCTGTATTGCTATGAATCTCAGTTTATGACCAAACTCAGTAAAGACACGTCATTGTTACATTTGGTTGATACATTCAACAATACCTTCCGTTATCTAGATGATATTTTTTCGTTAAATAATCCAGAGTTCTCTAAATATACTACCGAAATTTACCCAATAGAACTTACTTTAACTAAATCTAACATAAACAGCAGTAGTTGTCCTTTTCTGGATTTGGACATTTCAATCTCTAAAGGAAAACTCCATACGAAAATTTACGACAAAAGAGACGATTTTTCATTCCCTATTGTTAATTTTCCTTTTTTAGACGGCGATGTTCCTTTGGCTCCATCATACGGTGTATATATATATCCCAACTCGTTCGTTATGCCCGTGTGTGTAGTGATGTCATAAATTTTAACGAACGTAATCAATGCATCACTGGTAAATTATTAAATCAAGGATTTCGTTACCATAAATTACGTAAAACTTTTGCTAAGTTCTTTCATAGATACAAAGATTTGATTAGTAAATTTGGCTGTACTTGTAGAAAACTGATTAAAAACGGTATTTCACATCCTAAATTTTACGGTAATATTGTACTTAAAGCGCGGAAATCACTATGTGATCCGTGTAAACTCATCGAACCTTTAAACAGGCTTATTAGTAAAGGTTATCTTACCAATGTTGTAATTAGATCTTTGAATATAGTTTACATTGGCACTAATATCGATTTTGTCATCAGCAAATTAAAACATAACTAAATTTGTATTTTTTTCAAGTGAGATGTATAAAGACACACCCACGTTCGTTTAGATCTATAAAGAGGTTAAACTCCTAACTATCCTACTGTCTGTCGATACATTTATTTTTGGCATTACACTAGTCATGTCTTCTTTGACTGTCCATGACGTTAACATACTAAATCCCTGGGATGTGTTTTAGTTGATTATAGTCTCTGATGCATGATTTTTTATCATTAATTGTTTTGGCTTTAAACTAGCTGTCAGTAACTGCGAGTACTCTCAAATCGTACTTTCTTGTTTATTTGACCTGTTGATACTAATTGTATTGCTTTTTTGTTATTTAATGTTATTCAGGGTTATATCTGGTCTATATGCCAGCTTTTATAAGTGTTTGGTATAACTATAAATTTTCACTTCGTACTATTAACATCAAAATTATTTATTTTGTAATAATATTTCTTTTCTCTATTGGTACTGTACACGTATACCTGACAACAAAATTATTTTCATTTACCTGTGTTTAAAGTTATTGCAAATGGATGGTATTTTTGTTCGAGCATATTGTTTTTCTTTAATTGTTTAACATTTCTTACCGATATAACATGTTGCCTTTATTATTCTTCCTTTAGTTTATTTATTTTGTATTCAAAATTATTTATTTTGTAAAAATATTTCTTCTCTATAGGTACTGTACAGGTATACCTAACAACAAAATTATTTTCATTTACCTGTGTTTAAAGTTATTGCAAATGGATGGTATTTTTGTTCGAGCATATTGTTTTTCTTTAATTGTTAAACATTTCTTACCGATATAACATGTTACTTTTATTATTCTTCCCTTAGTTTATTTATTTTGTATTTACATTGTGTCATAGGTCAAATTTATTTGTTCAGTGTATGTTCAATGGTGTTAATATGTCCTTTGATTGAGTTAAGCTATTTCAGTTGATATTTTATAGTGTGTCTTTCTATGTTGTGATGTTACACTATTGTTTCAGAAAAAGGGTGAAGGTTTGGTACCATTAAAACGTTTAAACCCGCTGCATTTGTTTGCACCTGCCCTAAGTCAGGAATCTGATGTTCAGTAGTTGTCGTTTGTTGATGTGGTTCATAAGTGTTTCTCGTTTCTCGTTTTTTATATAGATTAGACCGTTGGTTTTCCCGTTTGAATGGTTTTACACTAGTAATTTTTTTGGGGCCCTTTATAGCTTACTGTTCGGTGTGAGCCAAGGCTCCGTGTTGAAGACCGTACTGTGACCTATAATGGTTTACTTTTATAAATTTTTACTTGGATGGAGAGTTGTCTCATTGGCACTTATACCACATCTTCTTATATCTATTGACGACCATATTCAAATAAGTGAAAAGTTTAAATGATTTGACCTACGCCTGACTAATTATAGAATCCCTAATAGTTTTTGTTTTGTTTTGATTGATTGATTTGAAGTATTATAACTAAGTATCACGTGTTTATGTAGGTTAGTCAAAATGAATTTAAAAACTCCTGACTATTTAAGCATATTATATTTTTCAGATTGATTATCGAGCCGAGAATCCCATTTGAAATGGATCAAGAGGGCGACGACATACCAGGTGAAACAATAGATTTCAACTCCATTAAACCAAATTCTTTACCACTTGGTAAAACATATCATATTTTCTTATCGTACAAGACTGACAATCGAGACCGTCGAGTCGCCTTACAGATAGACAGATTGTTACGAGGTAAAGGGTACAAATGTTGCCTCCATGAAAGAGATTTTCTAGCTGGAGATACCATAGTAAACAATATTGAACAAAATATTGAACGTTCTATAAAAGTAGTATTCTTGTTATCAGAAAACTCTTCTGCAAGCGAATGGTGCCAATACGAGCTAACTGTGACAGAGACATTTCATATTCAGAACAAAGGATATAAGCCAATCATATTAAAGCTTGATCAATGCAAGTTGCCAGATACGTTGAAAAGATATACATACCTTTCAGCAGACAGGCCTACAGAAGAATGGATTGGCAGACTAGCAGCGGCAATTAACAATGAAACCGGTAAATATATTGTTTGTTTTGTTTGTTTTGTCTAATGTGTATTTTTTTGTAATTTTGATTTGTTTTGTTTTGTTGGTCTCTTTCTAAAATACCCACATGGTTTTTAAGCTTGTCAAGTAAGATAATATGTTGATATAGAGCTAGGGTCATGGGGAACACTGACGGAAAATGTAGGCATTTCCGTCATATATTTACAAGCATACAGGCATTTGTTACTAAATATAGAAATCTATTAAAAAAGCCAGATGCTTTAATTTGAATATATAGCAATTGCTCTTCAACCTCTTAATTTTCCCTTTGGCATCTTCAGCCTCATTTATTTTTACAAAATTAATGATACAAATTTGAAGTTTGTATATAATTTCGAATCATTATTTTTCTTAAAATGAAGATAGATATCCACTAGAATTCTTTTGTCAATGTTTTTCCCTAAGGAGAAGATATCAAAATCAAATCTATGCGAAATAATCAAAATCAAATATGTAAAGAATGTTAGAGTTTATCAAAATGGCCATTGAAAATTACCATGCAAACCGTCACTTCTATTTTACGCAGAAAGATGGAATATAATGTGCTTAATGAGCAGACGTTCGATACAGAAACCTGGTGTATTTGAATTTCGTAAATTTGATTTCATACACACTTCCATATAAAAGAATATTTAAAAATCACAATATATATCATGGATTACAAATGTGTCGGGTATATAATTCGGAAACAGTCCGTGTATATGAGGATTTTTTACTCCACTTGGAATCTCGATAATGTTAATTAAAAAGAACATTACTATGGGACGTAGTCTTAACCTTCATCGCAGTGAATGTAATAGAATCTTAACGGTAAAACGTAATGAATATCCATCAATGGTATAATTTTAATTTATAATCACCGTGTACTAAATTAATAGCTGAAAGTATCGTTATACAAACAAACAGTGTCTATAAAAGGTAATTACTTTATTGCAAAACATTTTCTGACGTACAAAAAAACTATTTGAAATTATTCATCATTATATTTCAGATCACCTGATTACTAGCAGAAGAACCATTAAGTTCGTTCCAGTTCCATGTATTGATTACAATCGTGACAAAGAACACAAAAATTCCACATGTCGATATCCACACATCTGTGCAAAGTATATAGTCAATGATGATAAATGTGATGGAAGTTGTGGCAAAAATCATAATTTGGTAACCAATCAGTCAAGGGAAATTTTAGTTGACATTGGATTCATTACTGACGGCAATTATGATTCCCTGCTGGAAACCTATAAGCACAAATGTCAGAAAAAGCTGGCTGATATGGCAAAAACTGGAGTAACTGGCCCCTGTTGTTATTATAATTACAAGGGATGTTTGCTTGGTGATTTTCACTGTCCGTTTACTCACATATGTAAAGACTGGTTTCTTGGTTCTTGCGTAAAGCAGAAATGTACCCTTTCTCATGATATTTTGAATGATCACACGAAAGGCTTGCTTAAAATCTTTGACATTGATACTACCCAAGACAAGGTCGTCATTTTAAACAGATATCGTGCAAAGTATCCTCACAAAATGTTTATTCCGATGCAAGAGTCAGTATTCACAAGAACGTTTTTGAGGGAAAACTGGTTGTCTATTGTAATAAGTGTTCTTATAACTGCTGGAGTCACTGCCTATTTAATACAAATTGATTTAACAGTTTAAACATATTTAAATAGGTTGACGAACTTTCGTTATGTTTTTATGAGCAAATACGTTGAACTGTGAAACTGAACTAACGGACGAGTCTATTCTAGAAATACTTATATACCTTTTCGGATTTGAGCGTTCCTGATGAAGGGAAATCCAGAAAACTGATTCGGACGCATGAAATTTATAACGTGTTGTTTTCATTTTTCATTTGAGACAAACATGAGTACTTATCATGCACACTCATTCAAAAGGGGATATATTAAGGCAGGTAGTTTATCGATGCTCAAATATCATATTTCGATTAGGAAGAACATAGAATATACACCAAATCAATTAAGATGCAACCTATGTAATTACTTGTGTGATGGATATTCCAATCGAAAACATATTTGTAGCATATAAAGATGATCAGGTCTTTCACAAAGACACAATTCTGTCTAGTTCATCATTATGCACTATTTGTGTATTTTTATGCAGGTTTGTTTCATTCTCTATAAATATGAAGCAGAGCTCATATCTTTTATGAGTTGTTTTACTATTTAATTTTGTAGTTTTCATTAGGTTTTACATTTTTGCTATAATGAATATTTTAAAAAGATCGAAAGAAATGGCACGATAAGAGCCATATATGGGTCTCTGAAATAATGTAAACCTATTCAAGCCTTTCAAAGTTATCTTAATTGATCCTAATTATTGTCTTTTTGGGTGGCTCACCCAATTTTGACAATATAACGGAATTATAAACAACTGTCATACAAGTGGAAGGTTTAGCTAGCTATATATATATATATATATATAAATATATATATATAACCAGGTTTAACCTACCATTTTCTTTCTTTGGAAAATGCGTGTACCAAGTCAGGAATATGACAGTTATTTTCAAATCGTTCCGTGAGTTGACGTTTGAGTTTGTCAGGTTTCATGGACTTTCCCCTTTTTGTATTTATTTTGTTATACTTTTTTATTGATAAATGAACCAGTTGCTGAAATCGGTAAAAATTAGTGCAGATTGGTCATTGTTGATGACACTCTGACGTCATTAACACACGTATTTGAACTGAGATTGCAAATACACACATACATTTTGGTAAAAAATATATATGAGAAAGAGCTGTACCCAAAAAGATATTTCACGCACGTCAACATTTTTATAAAATACATTTTCTAGCAAAATATCTTGTTGGGTAAAGCTCTTGCTCATATTTGAACGATAACATAATTAATGACAAGATATCAAAATAAGATTAGTTTGGTAGTTTATGATGTTTTCCTCTAATCTACGAAATTTGAACCACAAAAACCAATATGTAAGACAAAATTCAAAAATGTAAATATTGATATCCAACAGACGTATGTCTTATGTTCATCTGTTCATTTATTACAGTTTTTGATTTTTCGAATTCATTGGACCAAAATGTGGCCTTATCACACCTTTCCCTTTATTTTGTGTATGAATATTTTCACATGCATTACAACCATAAATATGACTGAGGTATTGAAATATTGTTATAACTAGTTAAAAGAATAAACACAACCTAGAAGAAAAAAAAATTGTTCATGTTTATTGTTGAAGAAAGTACCACAAAATGGTCGGGGCCATATAGTTTCCCCCTTACGACTTCACATATTGAGCTGATTTTAGTACGTGAGTCTATTATGATGAGCTATAGATCGAGTTAAAGTTTGGTTCCGCTTCGCTGAATTTTTGCTAAAGTTACGGGCTTTGGACTTTGTGAATTTTGTGAAAATAACAGTTATATGGACAATTTTTTTAAATGAATTCACATATTGAGCTGAATTTTAGTATGTGAGCCTACTATAATGAGGTAACGTGTGGTTCCGCTCCACAGATTTTTGCTGAAATTGCGGGTTTTGGACAGTTTTTTAAATTTATTGAAAATAACAGTTATACTCAAATGTCCACTCCAAAAAATGGCTTCAAGCTTTTTTGCGAGTTGAGCCATTCATGTCGTTCCGACACATCTAGTATATGGCAGTTTTAAATTTTAGATTTCCTGATATCAAAATATTTTTGTGATAAGAAAATTTTCATCTTTTGATATCAAACATATTTTTTTGTGATATCAGAAAACAGAGTGGGGGATGAAAAATGGCTACCTGTGTTTCAATAAAAGCATCCAAGCTCATCCACGAACCCTAACATCAGGAAATATATGCAAATAACCAATTGACCAATTATGACCAGTTGTGTCATAATGTGGAACACTGCTACAAGATATTATTCATTATATTGATGGCATCGTTTCCCTTGTAACAAAAACAAAGTACTTATGTCAAGGATATTTCCAAGTTTTTAAAACATGATTAAGACTACAAAGCCTTCAAAAAATGCTTTTTCATATCATTTGACGCCAAAAAAATTACACTAATATTCAGGTGGATGAAATTTTACAAACAGCTGAATGAGCACTGAATTACCCCTTTCTAACTTATTACCAAATTCGAGTTCCACCAAAAGACAATATAATGATTTGTTTAGAAAACTATTTTAAAAAATAACATATTTACTTTTGCTTCAAACACTTGAAGTTCAAAACGGCGAAGCCGTGTCAGCGGAATTAGCCGACCTACGAATATACGAAATACTCGAATTGTTTTTACATAGCTGATACAATTCATACTTACCCAAATTTTGCATTCGATTTTTTTCAAATTAAATTTACTTATTTGACAGTCGGTTACACAGACGAACGCTTCCAAAACGATGGTATTTTTTGAAAACGTACGTCAAACCTACTGAAACTTTTCAGTACTTTCACATAAAAATCTTATATCCAAAAAATGTATTCAAATGATTTATTCAAGGCGAAGTACATAAAAATAACAAGCAGTCTTTCAAAAATTATCTCTTAAAAGGACTTTAAAAGACGAAATAGACGTGCAAACAGAACTAACTTACTAAATCCGCGACATAAATAAAAAAAAAAGACTTAAAACAAAATTAACAAAACAATTTCAAAAAAACCTGATTGCACAAATCTATTGTAAACGAAACCAAAAGAAACGAAACGAGAATTTACAAGAATCATTGACTAAACCTAAAAAATTTAACATGTGAAACACAAAAATGCATATCGAAATTAACAACTGGCAACCGATGTAAGGTAAAATAATGAAATAAACATGATATTACATGAATAAACCTTAAACACAAAACTTCTTATCACTGGTGAAGCCTGACTCTGAGTTATTCGTTCCCTAAACTCGGATGCTTTTATTGACACGTTCTTGATATGAAAAAAATATTTTTTGATCTTTTTTTAATATCAGGAATTAGGATTTTTTAGATCAAAAATAATTCTTTTTTTTTTTTATATCAGAAATGTATTTCTTGATTTCAAAAAATCGTCAGTGTTTTTATATCAGCAATTCGATTTATTATTTTTTTTAAATAAAACAAAGTATCGAATTTCTGATATCAAGAATTATAGATGATTTTCTGATATCAAAAATTCAAATTTTTGATATCAAAAAAAGGATTTTTTGATAAAAACAACATTAAATTCCTGATATATCTCCTTTTTGATATGAGAAATTCAATATTTTTATATCAAGAAATATTTGATATAAAAAAATAAGGAATAAATAGGAAAACGACGCCTCATAAAACATATGTGCCACAATGCCAGAAAAATTTATGTAAAGGACATAGTTTGGCAAGCATGTTCAGTTGTTAACTTCTACGCCATGTGGTCTCTGGTTACCAGGAGAGGTTTCCCGGCCAATGTCAATCATACCACATCTTCTTATTTTTATATGTTAAGGTATAAATAAACAGAGAAACAGACACTTATTCATAGTTTATTTGTCCTATTTCGGCACACACCCTTGTGTCCACTGAACTTGGCGAAAAGCACTATTATTCCCAAGTCCGCTTTGAGATATTTTTACTTTCATTTTGTTTGGATTTTATAACTGACTGTTAACTAATAATAACCATGCAAATTGCACAACTTCTCATGTCTATTAATAGAAAAACATTCTTGATCAATACACATAACAGTTGTGTCTTCCATTGGTATTTAGCAGACCATTTGATGCATAATACATATATATTATGTCGAAATATGTTCGCTTACATGTTGCATGACAGTTTTGTAAAGAAGGCCATCATGTTATGAAGGTAGATGGCGTTAAATGTGATCCGTATAATAGAACTTTTAATTGCATTGTTATACTGGAATCTTCATTTCATAATGCTGCTTTTGTGTTGTTTTAGGGTAGTAATAGTACATAAATAAATAATTGAAAATTTGATTTATCAAAAAGTAGAAATAACACCAAATTTGATATAGCTTTTAACACAAATGTTTAAGCGAGGATGGTAAATATACTTAATGTTATTGCTGTGCTATCTACTTACTGAAACATGTATTGATAAGGATGGCTTGTCTTGCAAACAATATAATTTGCAAAAATGCTACGAAGTTTAAAAGAGGGTTTTTTCTCTTATAAGGTTTAGCCTTGCAACATATATCATTTATAATGACTCAGCACCCTGCTATGGCATCATGGTATTGGATGCAAAAATTTTATATTTTTCATTTAAATGCAATATTTCTTATCTAATTGGTATATTTCTTCATTTAAATGCAATATTTTTTTATTTGAATGGTATATTTTTTCATTTAAATGCAATATTTTTTATTCAAATGGTATAATTTTTCATTCAAATGGTATAATTTTTCGTTCAAATGGTATAATTTTCATTCAAATGCAATAGTTTTTATTCACTTGGTATAAAATGTCATTTGAATGCAATATTTTTTATTCAATTGGAATAGTTGTTTTTTATTTATATGCAATAATTGCATTATGGGAAATTCTTTGACGTCATAAGGTCAAATTTGCAACAACATTTGTGATTGGTCAGAAATTGTTTGGATTCCTACCCTTTTTTTCTAAACATGGGTGACCAAGAATTAAAAAACGCGTCCGAATATCGCCCCTCTAACTAAATCTAACGTTCGTGCGAGTCCTGCACTGGCTGTTAAAATCTTGTGGTCATAACTAGTATTTCTATTGCAAAATTTCGATGGTCAAAACGTTCGACGGTCCACTTTTCAAAAACCGTTTCATTGTATATGGATTTATATGCAAGTATATCGGTTTTTTTAAATAGATTAGACACCGTTGGTTTTCTCGTTTGAATGGTTTTACACTACTAATTTTTTGGGGGCCCTTTATAGCTTGCTGTTCGGTTTGAGCCAAGGCTCCGTGTTGAAGACCGTACGTTGACCTTTAATGGTTTACATTTACAAATTATGACTTGGATGGAGAGTTGTCTCATCGGCAATCATACCTCATCTTCTTATATCTATATACAACGTAAAACCGACGTTTCTCAGACTGTTTTTCTTGTTTTAATAAATCCTTTGCCGCGCGTTGTGTACTGATTGATAACTCAGTCTGGGAGAACAAGATGATTTATTTCAGTACCAGTTGTAATTAGGTTTGAGCAAACTTCCAGTAATTGCAAATACTCTTATATCGGTGCTTTGTGTCTATTGTCTTAATATTAGTTTTTTTGTGTGTCTCGTACCGATCTTTTGAGTTAATTTGCTGATTTGTGCAGGTTGTATTTTATTGTACTGTTACACCACTGTCCCAGCTTCGGGATCGGTTGCTCACAAACATGTTGTTGAACTGTTACACCGCTGTCCCAGATCAGGGGGAGGATTGGGATCCCGCTAACATATTTAACACCGCCACATTCTGTATGTATGTGCTTGTCCCAAGTCAGGAGCCTGTAATTCAGTGGTTGCCTTTTGTTACTTTGTTATACATATTTGTGTTTTGTTCAGTTTTTTGTACATTAATTCGGCCGTTATTTTTCTCGATTGAATTGTTTTACATTTTTGATTTCGGGACTTTTTATAACTGACTATGTGGTGTAGGCTTTGCTTATTGTCGAAGGCCGTACGGTGACTTATAGCTGTTGATTTCTGTGTCATTTGATCTCTTGTGGAGAGTTGTCTCATTTGCAATCATTCCACATCTTCGTTTTTATATCCACCTGCCATATTCTTTATTTGCCTGTCCCAGGGATGGAGCCTGTAGTTTAGTGGTTGTCGTTGGTTCCTGTCTCGACTCATATTTGATATTTTGTAAATTGTTTTGTTATGTATAATTAGGCTGTTAGTTTTTTTGTTTGAATTGTTCACATTTTTCATGTCGGGCCGTTTATAGACGACTTTACAGTATCAGGTTTTTGTCATTGTTGAAGGCCTTACGATTATCTACAAAAAGCATTTGTCTACATGACGGTAAAAAGCTCTACAGAGCTTATGTTTGTAGTATTTCATGTAACCCGACTTAAAATAGATTTTTCTTATCTTATCTTATCTATAATTGCTTACATCCACTTCATATTTGAACTCCGGTGGATAGTTGCCTTATTAGCAATCATATTCCATCTCTTCATTGAATGTCTTTAGTAATGACAAAGTGTGTGTCAAAGTAGAAGACAAAATAACTGATTTTTTTAGATATAATGTTGGTGTACGACAAGGTGACATCTTGAGTCCCACATTGTTTAAACTATTTATTAATGATTTGCAAGATATATTGTCAAACAATTATGATAATGTCAATTTAGATAATGAAAAGATACCATGTTTACTATACGCTGATGATCTTGTATTAATATCCGACTCAAAAGAAGGGCTTCAGAAGAGACTTGATACTTTGTGCACATTCTGCAAAGATTGGTGTATGGAAATAAATGTGAAGAAAACAAAGATTATTATATTCAATAGGAGTGGTAGACTCCTTAATGAAAATTGCAAGATAGGAAATAATTCTATCGAATGTGTTAAACAATACAAATATCTTGGCATAGTCATCCAAAATACTGGAAACTTTAATGAAACCAGGAAACAATTATTCCAAAAAGGTCAAAAGGCCAGTTTTTAAACTGTATAAAGATCTGAAATCATCAAATCCTCCTATTAACACTCTTTTACATTTATTTGATCATTGTATACAGCCAATTGTAACGTATGGTTGTGAAAATTGGGGTGTAATTAACATTACTCCTAAAAAGAAAAAAATATCCCTTCATGACATATTTAAAGATTGGGAGTTTGAGAAGCTAAATTTAAAATTTGCAAGTATATTATTGGTGTTACAAAGATGTGCACAAACGTAGAAGTCCTGTCTGAACTAGGTAGATATCCTCTTTATATAAATTTGCTAACACATATGTTTATGTATTGGCATAGACTAGATAATTCCCCATCTGATTTATTGAAAAGTGCTTATGCTGAGTTAAAAATGATTGAGAGTAAAGCTCAAACTAACTCCAATAATTCATGGCTCTCTAATATCATTTTCTACAGCGAAAAATTGGGTATTGACCTAAATATATGTAAAAATTTAGGCAAAAATAAATTAAAAAATTTACTGAAAAAACAGCTGAAATTAAATTTTCAATATGATTGGAAGAAAATGCGAGATTTTTATTTACAGAATCAAGGCAAATTGGACACTTATTTTTCATTCAAGAGGTCATTTGACTATGAAAATCATTTAGATTTAAAGCACCCCCAAAAACATTTGTTAACAAAATACAACAGACTCAGCAATCACTGTTTAAGAATAGAAACTGGCAGACATGAACGTTTTATCAATGTATGTGGTAAATATGAAATATTACCTCGACATGAGAAGATAATTATGTTTATATTGTAATTCAAATTCTATTGAAAATGAAATGCACTTTCTTCTGGAATGCCCTCTTTACAATAGCCTCAGAAGAGATATGACTGATTATATAAAAAAATACCCCAGTTTAGTTAATTTAAACAGAAATGATCTTTTTACATGTATCATGAGTAATGAAGATAGCAGTTTTTTTATCTATTTTATGTGCATACCTTGATAAAGGCCTGCAACTTAGAAAATCAGAAAATTAGTTAAATACTCTAATAGATATAATAGATAGCAAAATTATCTCCCCTTGACCACTGACCCTTTCCTCATGCATTTGAACTATTATTTTATGTTTCTTTAATCACTCTGTAATGTCTATGTCATGTTGTTATTAATGTTAACGCGTAATGGGCCCTTTAATTTGGAAAAATAAAAATATTGTATTGTATTGTATTGTATACAAATATCTAAATTTGAACATACTCCCCCCCTCTAGACACCGAGGTTTTGGATCCGCCCCTGTTAAATGTGTCTAATTATATACATTTTGTACGGGTCTAGATAATAGCTAAACGTACTATCATATAATTTGTTGGATACCTAATTATATTATATAATGTGTCACAAAATAAACTTGTATACCCCCCCTTCCCAATGCAGTATTGAAAAAGTAAATCATTTAAAAGTCCTGAAGATAAAACATGTTTTGAAATATGCCCTGCATACTTATTTATGCAAAGACATATAGTAATTATTGAACTACTGTGGGGTTGAAAAACAATCTATTTAAAGGATTCGGAGACGAGAACAGTAAAATAAGCTCAGCAACGAATCCTAAATGTAAAATGATTTGCAGCATAAGACATGAGAGCACATATTATAGATAGTATTCAATATGAAGTTCACGCCTCATATAGTGAAGTCCTATGTCATAGGACTATTGTTGTAACATGGGTTAGTAACTGGTTCCAATTTATCCTGAATTGTCTTTTTAAAGAATTAGTTCCGGAGTATAACAGCTTATGTCTCTACTTGTGGGTTTCTGGTTCTGCTGTCGTAATTAGGTGATTTTTTTTCTACATGTAGTAAAAAAGAGGGGGCTCAGTCCGAATAATTGTAAGTCCTGGATGCTTTTTATTCTTTTTTCATGTGTGCCTTCCTGCAACGTCTCTGAGGATCAAGAAAACTAAAAAATGATATAGCACTAAAGAACGTCATGATTACATGTATCTGGACTTGAAAGGGGGAAGGGGGGCTAGCTATGTATTTTTTTTTTATTTCAATGTGTAGACTGTAGGAGAGTTTCTTCAGAAAAGGTTTTCATTGGAGGTGTTTTTGCCAGGCACGCAGGCATCTGTTTCTATCCATGAACAAGTTGTGAGTCAAATTAATTATTTTTACTTGTCACTCGCATTTTTTGCTCGTCCTTGCCATTATTGGCATTAACAGCCAGTGCACGAACTCGCACGAACGCCAAATTTAGTAAGAGGGGCGATTTTCTGACGCGTTTTTTAATTTTTGGTCATTCAAGTTTAGAAAGAAAGGGGAGAAATCCAAACAATTACCGACCAAATTTGACCTTATGACGTCAAAGAATTTCCCATAATGCAATTATTGCATATAAATAAAAAAACAACTATACCAATTGAATAAAAAATATTGCATTCAAATGACATTTTATACCAATTGAATAAAAAATATTGCATTTGAACGAAAATTATACCATTTGAATGAAAAATTATACCATTTGAATGAAAAATTATACCATCTGAATAAAAAATATTGCAATTAAATGAAAAAATATACCATTCAAATAAAAAAATATACCATTCAAATAAAAAAATATTGCATTTAAATGAAGAAATATACCAATTAAATAAGAAATATTGCATTTAAATGAAAAAATATCAAATTTTTGCAACCAATATCATGCCATACCCTGCATTATCAATATGCGGTTTCAGGAAGTTAAACCTCTATAATATGTTCATTGATTTCTTCTAGGGACATACAATTTTTCAACTTGAATAAATGAGCTCCTTTTTTCAAAAACATACAGGAACGAGTTTTTTTTTTTTTTTTTTGCTTTAATCAGCTACTTTGGTTTTATTTTCAAATAGTTTTCGATAGAAATAAACCTTCTTTTCATTTCCAATGTAAAATAAACTATATTTTCCCAAAAATTTAGAATCTAACAATTTATATTCATAACAAATCGATGCTCCATTCCCTTAGAAAATATTAATGGTCGGTGCTTAAAAAACAAATAAATATGTAGATTTCAGAATTATAGAGTTAACGGAAACGATTGACTACCATTTGTCAATTGAGGAAAATAAAAGATAGGACCAGAAAAATTAGCCTACACCAAGGTAATAACGAACTCCTTAAATATCTTTGCTATCGTTATGCTGATAAAAAAAAAGTGCTACACAGTTATAATAATCTATTCTTTTATTGGTTTGGCATGTTACCTAGTTCTTGCATGAAGAGACATTTCTCGTATCACACTGCACGGAGTGATACGAAAACTGCGTTTATTTGATTGGCGTATCCAGCATCATGAGACGATATTACGTCATTCCATTGGCTATTCGTTAGATAATTGGTGACATTCAAAGGTTAAGATGATGAACATTTCGTTCATGGCAACGAACATATGTGATTTCTTCAATTATATACAAAACAATCACACTTTTCACCTGAAAACCTTCTTTTTGTAAAGTTTGTTTAATTCTGGAGCGTACAAAAAGTTTTAAAATGTCTGATGTTAAAGTTTGCCGACGGAACAGGACATGTGACGTCATACTGGTATGTGCAAAAGACTAGATCAACAATTCACGGAATTTAACACAAAGAGAGTGTCAACCATAAGTGAAATAGGTTTAACAACTCTCAAGAATTGGATATCGCTTGATATCAACTCTCGTTATTTAATTTAGATAATAATAATAAACTGGCCGAGTTATGCCCCTTGGAAACAATTAATTATATAAAAAATTGCATCGTTAGCGCTCTCATGTGTACAATTATTGCCAGATTGTTATGAAACTTATATTGAAGGTTAATATCAGTAATGTTTCGGACGAGTTCAAAAATCAGTGCCGATCAATTATTTTAAAAAGAGCAATGCCCCTTGGAAACATTAACTATGTGCAAAAATTGCACCGTTAGCGCTTTCATATGTACAATTATTGCCAGATTTTTATCAAATCTATATCATAGTTTTATATCAGCAATGTCTAAGACGAGTTTGAAAATCAGTGTTTATCAAATATTTTTAAAAGAGTTATGCCCCTTTGAAACATTAATTATATGAAAAATTGCATCGTTAGCACTCTCATGTGTACAATTCATGCCATATTTTTATGAAACTTATATTGTAGGCTAATATCAGTAATGTCTCGGACGAGTTCAAGAATCAGTGCCGATCAATTATTTTAAAAAGATTTATGCCCCTTTGAAACATTAATTATGTGCAAAATTGCACCGTTAGCGCTTTGATATGTACAATTATTGCCAGATTTTTATCAAACCTATATCATAGTTTTATATCAGCAATGTCTAAGACGAGTTTGAAAATTAGTGCCGATCAAATGTTTTTAAAAGAGTTATGCCCCTTGGAAACATTAATTATGTGCAAAATTGCATCGTTAGCGCTCTCATGTGTACAATTCTTGCCAGATTTTTATGAAACTTATATTGTAGGTTTATATCAGCTATGTCTTGGACGAGTTCGAAAATCTGTTCCAATCTATTATTTCTAAAAGAGTTATGCCCCTTGGAAATAATAATTATATGGAAAAATTGCCTTGTGAGTGCTCTCATGTGTACAATTCTTGCCAGAATTTTATGAAATGTATATCATAGGTTTATATCAGCAATGTCTTTGATGAGTTCGAAAATTAGTGCAGATCAACTATTTTTTTAAAGAGTTATGCCTCTTGGAAATATTAATTATATGGAAAATTGCATTGTTAGCGCTCTCATGTGTACAATTCTTGTCAGAATTGTATGAAACTTATATCATAGGTTTATATCAGCTTTGTCTTTGACACTTTCAAAAATAATTGTTGATCAAATATTTTTAACGAGTTATGCTCTTGGAAATATTAATTATATCGGAAATCACATTGAATTTGATCTGAAGCATTCATTTCTCTAAGATATTTATGAACATCAAGCGATATCCAATTCTCACTCGTCTAGAAACCTATAAGTACAATATCTTTATGTTGATTAGCCAAGATTGAAACATACTCAGTTAATGCAAATTGCATATTTCAGATCGTGAATGTTGCTTTAAATCGCTTTTGAAATGCCAGAACAGAGCGATGACAAGTCTGATGAAACTATAAATTTCGGCTCAATTAAACCAATTACTTTACCAGTTGATAAAAAATATCATATGTTCATAGTGTATAAGGCTGACGATCGAGACAGTGGAGTCACAGATAGTCGAATTGTTACAAGGTAAAGGGTACAAATGCTGTCTCGACGAAGACGATTTCCTAGCTGGAAAAAATATAATGAGGAATACTGGCCAAACTATTAAACGTTCTATAAAGGTTGTATTCTTGTTGTCAGAAAACTCTTCTGCATGTGAATTGTGGAAATATGAGCTGGATGTGACAGAAATATTTCATATTGAGAACAAAGGATATAAGCCAATCAGCATAAAGCTTGATCAATGCTACTTGCCAGATACGTTGACAAAATATACATACCTTTCAGCTGATAAACCTACAGAAGAATGGATTGGTAGACTAGCAAAAGCAGTTAACGATGAAACTGGTAAATATGGTGTTTTTTGTCGCTTTTGTAATATTTTCGTTTACTCTTTTTTTAAACGATCGCAAAATTTTTATGGTCGTATAATGGTATGACGTTGTCTTTGTCCTAATACATTTTGTTTCCAAACAATAACTTGAGTATAAGTCTCTGGATCTCTAAGACATTGCACCAAAAGGTTCCATACCACAAAAGAAAGGTTGGGATTGATTTTTGGGGTTATGGCTCTAACTGTTTAGGAAAAAGGGGCCAAGAACAATGCTTTTCTAATACTTTGTATAAATTGCTTATTTCTAAACCAATTTCAATGGGGTTTAATTTATTAAAGTCTTCTATTCTTGGGATTCTTTAATATGCCGAATCTAACTGTGTATTTAAATTTAAAATTTTGGGTCCCGTTTTCAAATTGGTCCTTATTAATATATAAGTTCCAAAGGGTCCAAAATTAATCTATGTTTGATTTCAACAAAAATTGAATTCTTGGGGTTCTTTGATATGCTGAATCTAACCATGTTTTTAGATTTTGGATATTGAACTCTAATAGGTAAATGTCCAATTCCAAATTTTGTTCTTAGATCACATTCATTCTGTGTCAGAAACATATGCTGTTTCAAATATTTAATCACAATCCAATTTCAGAGCTGTATCAAGCTAGAATGCTGTGTCCATACTTGCCCCCACCTGTTCAGGGTTCGACCACAGCGGTGATATCAAGCTGCGCCCTGCGGAACATTTCATTTTTTGTTTTGTTTTTTTTGTTTTGTTTTTTGTTTTTTTTTTACTCACTTACTAAATATGGAATTTTGTATTTTACAATACCCACAACGTTTAAAGGTTTGTTAAGGATGCCAATATCTTTATTTCGTAAAATGGTCAAAACATGAAATTATGGATATTCCGCCATATATTCAAAAGCATTAAAATCATACTCATCAAAAACAGTTGCAATAATTTGAATATATGCAGATATTGTTTACAGCTGATACAGTTATAAAGTTTTGACAGACTTCTGAGTTGTTATAATATCAAAAGGAAGATATGTATTTACTTGAACTGCTTTTTCCATGTTTGGGAGAAGATATCAAGAGCAATATACAGTTTATCAAACATGTTCATTTAAGATAATCAAACAAACCGTCACTTAATTTTTTTTCTCAAAATTAGAATACATTTGCAATGTAATGTGTTAAAAGATCAAAACTGTAAAATGTTAATGCAGAAACTTGGTGTATTACTTTGAATATTCAGTTTTACCCAATTCATTGATTACAGCGTATTCGATATCTAAATGTAATGTGACAGAGTTGTCAAGTCACAACTGGAGATTGAAAATTTTCAGCCGGAGTTTTGGCCTCATAACTGCAGATTTTTATTGACAATTTTATCGACGTTTTCAGTGTTCATTTTGATGACAAAGCTACATATTTCCGTTTCTTTTTATAGATAACTGTATTACTATTAATAATATCAACAAGATAAATGTAGATCTCAATTTTGCCAAATTTAATCTATCACGATATCAAAAATCATATGTTTATATTAAACAGTTCATCATTATATTTTAGATCACCTTATAACCAGCAGAAGGAACATTAAGTTCGTTCCAGTTCCATGTATCGGTTACAATCGTGATAAAGAACACAGAATTGACACATGTCGATATCCACACATCTGTGCAAAGTATATAATTAATGATGATAAATGTGATGGAAGTTGTGGCAAAAATCATAACTTGATTGACAATCAGTCAAGAGAAATCCTTGTTGACCTTGGATTCATTACTGAAGGCAATTATGAATCCATTCTGCAAACCTATAGGCAGAAATGTAAAGAAAAGCTAGCTGATATGGCGAACGCTGTGGTAACAGGTCCCTGTTGTTATTATAATTACAAGGAATGTTTGCTTGGGGATTTTCACTGTCCATTTACTCACATATGTAAAGACTGGTTTCTTGGTACATGTGTAAATCAGAACTGTACTCTTTCTCATGGTATTTTGAATGATCACACGAAACGTTTGCTAGATATCTTTGGCATTGATACTACACAAGATGCGAACTTCATTTTAAGCACATACCGTACAAAATATCCTCACAAAAAGTTTATACCGATGTCAGCATCTATATTTACAAGAAAGTTTTTAAAAGAAAATTGGCTGTCTGTTTCTGCATGCGTTCTTATATCAGCTGGAGTCGCTGTCGTTTTGGTAAAGAAAATGTAGATTTACTGTACTAACAAAAAACACTTTTGTTTAGTTTTTGAAAACTGTGACAAGTTCTTATCGTGCTTTCATGAACAAATATGTTTTTCATTGTCCTACCATATAAGGGGTAGAATATATACCAAATTAATGAGATGCAGTATACGGAATTATTTGTGTGGTTGATATTTCAATTCTAACTGTATTTGTATCATAAGGTGAACGGGTCTTTTTAAAATATAATATGCGTTTTCATTGAGTCTACTTTTGGCAGGTTTGATTCTGTATAAGTATGAAGCAGGTCTCATATCTGTAATTATATATAAAAAGAAGAAGATTTGATATGATTGCCAATGAGACAACTCTCCATTAGAGACCAAAATGTTAACAACTATAGGTCACCGTTCTGCCTTCAATAATGGGCAAAATACATACCCATATGCATTGTTTTGGTTTTTTGTCTCGCCTTGACGGATTCAAAAAGCGAGAAATATGTATGCTGTTTCCGGCGTCGGTGGCGGCGGCGCCGGCGTCGTCAACAATGTATTAGTTTGTGATTAGGTCTAGTTTATGGTGAACCACTAGTGGTAGGTCAATGATATTTGGTATGCAGTTGTATAAGCATTGTCAAATCTCATTTCCATGGAGATTATTTGGCCCGCCCTCTCAGTCATGGTCTATTGACTTTGAAACTTTTGCTTAGTTTACATGTATTAGTTTGTGATTAGGTCAGTTTATGGGGAACCACTAGTGGTAGGTAAATGATATTTGGTATGCTGTTGTATAAGCATTGGCATATCTCATTTCCATGGAGATTATTTGGCCCCGCCCTCTCAGTCATAGTCTATTGACTTTGAAACGTTTGCTTAGTGCACATGTATTAGTTGTGATTAGGTCAGTTTAAGATGAACCACTAATGTTAAGTCAATGATATTTGGTATGCAAATGTATTGGCATTTGCAAGTTTCATTTCCATGGAGATTATATAACCCCACACCCTCATTATGGTTCATTGACTTTGAAACTTTTACATAGTGTACAAGTTAATGTTTGTAGTTGTTTAAAGGGAATATTTGGTATTTGGTATTTGGTATACAGTTGTATTAGTATTGGCACATCTCATTTCCATGGAGATTGTTTAGCCCTGTACCTTCAGTCATGGTTCCTTGACTTTGAATATTTGCATAACTTACATATAAATAAAGTATTGCTATTTTAATTTCAATATTTGCATTATCAAAATAACAAATAGGCGAGACATATCTCTGTGTTAACAGTTTTTTTTTAATTTAATTTTACAGTTTGAATGCAGGTCTTCATGTTTATTTGAATGATTTATTTTTAAACAAATTGCTTTTGTGTTAGAATATTTTCACATGCATTATCACCTCACAGTTCACTGAGGTATAGAGAAATGGTTAGCTGACATTTTCCATTTTTCTTCCGGGGCTTTTTCTATTTCCCACTCGCTACCTCGATTGGCGTTGCAGAATCGAATTATTTGAATTTAATGATCAATCAAATGAAAATCGATGACAAATTTTGACTGCCGCTGGAAATGAGGGTATATTGGATAGGGATATACATTTTGCTTTGCAGCAGACCACCTACAAACCCCTCAAAGATTTGTTGCAAGAATTCATAACGTGTAGAAATGGTGAACTCTCTTTACACGACACATAGGATTTAACTTCCTTATTTTGACCGGACGTGGCTGCGTACTTGTACATCCCGCACATCCAAACGGACGTCCCATTTATTCAAGGGTTTTTACTGTCGGTCGGAAGAGACCAAAGTGACCATATTTCTACTCTACCGTCACCCTTCGGATATTTGGCATATACATACAATGATATACATATTAAAAATCCGAATAATCACTTTAGATAAGAAGATAAAAACATGCAAAGCTAAAACCTCTTTACGTTTATAGTTTTATTTCTAATAAAATATTTGTAGAAAGATTGAAAAATATAATGACTTGTCAGAGAAAAATATACATAATGGGAAGACAATGGTACACGTACGAAAAGAATCTATTGAAGGAGTGACAAATGACCATCATTGCAATAACTTTTTAGAAGAAAAATTAATATCATGGCCTGGTCAGAGGTGAAAAATAATAACCTTCCATAAGACAGGATGAAAATGAATATTTTGCAACCAAAAATGCAGAAAATATTTGTGTACAAAAGTGAAAATATTTGTTTGTGAAAAAAGACTCATAGATGAAAAAGAATAGTAAATCCTCAAACAAATCATTTGGTCTCTCCAGGATATCAAATGGTCATCGCCCTACTATATACATTGTTTGTAAGCGTCTTTGTTATTAAAACATTGGTTCTCTTTAATAGAATAGATAAAAAAAATCAAAGTATTAAAAGTAAAATAACAAAAATACCGAACTCCAAGGAAAATTCAAATCTGAAAGTCCCTTATTAAATGGCAAAATCAAAAGCTCAAACACATCAAACGAATGGAAAACAACTGTCTTATTCCTGACTTGGTACAGGCATTTCCTTATGTAGAAAATGGTGGATTAACTTTACATTAAATAATAAATAATCAATTTATTGTTATCTATACTCATAAAACGTTTGAAATAAAACCAAATGTAGTTTTCACTTTCTCTTAATGTGTATTTGTATCACTTTTACATTTTTGTTTATAAATGACAACACATAAGTTTATATAAACACAAAATATGAAATATAAAGGTTATATTAAAAGTAAAGATTATCATACGACTTCTAGTAGATTGACAATGTAATACAACACCAAGCTTCAGTGTTTTATTTTTACTACCAAATGAAATTAAGACTTCAATAATTGCGTGCGTTTTTCTGAATTTACCATAATCAGGAATTGACAAATATAAACATTTCAAAGCTAGGGATGTATAAATGCATGAACACTTCAGTATATGATCACATAAACTCATCATAGATATCAGGCTTAAAATTTTGGACGCCAGACGCTCGAGTAAAAAAAAAGTCTGAGTAAAAAAAAAAAAAGAGAAAAAGGACCAAATAAAGAAAGACGTTGAAGAGCATTGTAAAGGGTCGTAAATAAAACAGAAGTTTAGAACCTTCGTTCCATAATACTTTTCTAATTTATCAGCGAGGAATTTTAGAACAATATGTTATAAATAATGTCAGTACCAAAGCACTATCAACTGAGCAATTAATACCCTCGGAGACTGACAGTCCACTGGTATCAACCTAGGTCTAGTAAAGGCTTCAAATCTGGATTGATTGATTCATTGGTTGGTGCTTGTTTTACGCTACTTCATAAAACAGGGCTATATATATATATCACGTCAACATCAAATCTGGACATAGAGACTTAATCATTAAAAAGAAATTGTGGTTGAACACAAAATTCAACGTGCATGATGATTAAATTTTCCAAATGGTGAGTTTTCATTTCTCTGTGGATAATGTATTTGTGTTCTGTAAATTGTGTTTACAATACCAGGTAATTCCCTAAACATTATTGTTACAGATACAAATGAAACTGAGGCATTGTTAATGGAATGGTCGATATTGTATCTTAAAAAAACAAATGAAACTTTTGCACTCTGGCGGAAAACAAAAATCTACTGCGTCAATTAAATGCAGTTGATTGCTGTTTTGAAATGTACTACTTATAGTGACATATACTGTTGTAAAAGGATTTATCATACAATGATGAAAATTCATGTCTATAGTTCGAAGTCGTTGTGGATTTAATAAAAAGAATAGCTAGTTTCATTTTCGGTTTCATTTTCAGAAAGTATACACCATTTCATAGTGGTGACATATTCTATAAATAGATATAGATATGTATTTGATTATCTTTATAGACGTTATTAATTTTAATTCTGACCAACGACTGTGGTTATTATAAGGTATGTACTGCTTATATTTTGTAATTAACACTTTGTAAGGCCAATTGATCTCTAAAATTGAAACAACGACCAATAATTGAAACACCCAACAGATGTTGTGCATGTTGTGTGTTTCATGTGATAACTTGTACACATTTCAACAATGCATTCTTACGAGTATTTACATTTCTTGCTAAATTCTTGTTACATATACAAATGACAATGCTTTGTCAGTCAGAAGGACAAATATTCTGAAATAAGTTATTGGGAGGATTCTTGACAACCGGAATTTGACTGACCAAATCGATTTTGAGGGCAAAATTGTTATAAATCAACGTATCTATAAATAAATAGATTCAGATAAACGCCCACAGGTAAGATTGTGATAATTTCTTTATTTCGTTTTGCAAAATTGCTTGATTAACGAAGAATAAACTTTGAAGTCGTAATACCATATTTGCATTAGGTAATATAATAATATATAATAATAAATTCTTTATTTAAAGAGGGTAACTCAAATAGAAGTAGTCTAATTTTCATTGAGGCCCTCAAACAAAATACATGTATACAGTTAACATTCATACATTCGATTCATACTTTAAAATACAATATATATTACTAGTATATACACAATTCAATCATTCAAACATACAAATGGCAATAAATGGCAATAATTGGTAAAGTTTTGATTAAATTTTCTTATTCTTACAATAAAAGAAAGAAATCAAATTATTCGACTTGCATAGAATTTTCAAGAAAATAATTATAACAATGTTTCTTAAATAATTCCACATTTCGACAATTTTTTATTTTGAGTGGTAAATTATTCCATACCTTTGTTGCAGAATAATGAAAAGATTTTTTATAAAAAATTGTGTTTGGTCTTGGAACAAATAGATCATTATTAGAGACAGATCGTAAGTTGTGGTGTTGCACATCATTAATATTTAGCATTGTTAAGTAATCAGGTGTTAGTCCATTTACAATTTTATACATTAGAATTGATTGTTGGTATTTTATTCTTTTTGTAAAAGATAGCCATTTTAAAGATGAAAACATAAAATTAGATGGAACAGAAATATCGCATTCAAGTATAATTCTTGCTACTCTTTTTTGAAGTTTTATGATTCTATTTGAATCTTTTTGTAATAAATTTCCCCAAACTGAACTACAATAGTCTATATATGGAAGAATATATGCATTATAAAATAGTTGTATTGTGTGTATAGGCAAATATACTTTAATTTTAAACAAAAGTGATATTTAAGATGAGATAATCTTGCATATACGATCAACATGATCCTCCCAGCTTAAAATTTCATCAATGTCAATTCCAAGAAATTTGAAAGAATGGACAATATGAGATCATTTCGCTTCTTGTGATGATGATGTTGGGCTTTTGGAAATTAACATGGCTTTTCGGAAATTAGCGTGGCTTGTTTGGAAATTTACATTACATAGCTTTTATGATCAAATAATAAACGTAGATGGGCATTGAAGAAGTTCTAGAAGTTAGTTCAGGTAAATGAGTGACTTTTCCCCCTTCTTTATATGTGCTATAAATTCTATAAAAATCATAGAAATAACTGTAACGTCGCAGAAACGTTTATCAATATATTAACTATCATATAGTCTCTCCTTTTATGCGAGTAATTATTAATATTTAAACATGTCAAATGCATGAGAATAAGTTTTGTACATGAAAGATTAACTAGAAACAGTGCAAGGTAGCTTCTTGTTTCGGCCTAATAAAAAATTTATCTGTCTCTGCAAACATGCAGAAAAAAACAGGTAAGAAAGGTAAGCGAATAATTTTTTTTAATTTTTTCACTAGTTTAAACAGGGGAAACAGTATTTTTTTTTATAAGGCATTAAATTTAAGCGGCTAAAATACGTATACTTTGTGAGACGTCTTTTCAACGATTTACCTAGGAAATCCATATTATATCTTGACACGACCAACCAATTTATCTTATTTTTTAAAATAAAATAAAATTAGTTATATACAAAGTGCATTGTTCAGATCGGGATTCATATGACTGTTTATTACGTTGTGGTATGATATCAATCCAGAAATTATCAACTATAGGTCACCGTATGGCCTTCAACAATGAGCAAAGCCCATACCGCATAGTCAGCTATAAAAGTCCCCGAAATGACAAATGTAAAACAATTCAAACAAGAAGACTAACGGCCTAATTTATGTACAAAATAATGAACGAAAAACAAATATATTACACAGCAAAAAACGACAACCGCTGAATTACAGGTTCCTGACTTGGGACAGATACATTCAGAATGTGGCGGTGTTAAACTAGTTTGTTGGTGCCAAACCCTCCCCCTAACCTGGGACAGTGGTGTAACAGTACAAATAAGAACAAACTATAAAAATCAGTTGAAAAAGGCTTAACTCATCAGATGGATACACATAGAAATACGTCTAACAAAAACAAAGAGTAGACGTGGAAGGGTATGAACTCTGTTTTATTAGAGATTTCCCGATTTGCTACCGTACCAACCGTAGTACGAACTGGAAGCTGTTACTGACCTTTTAAAAATAATTTCTATTTACACTTAATATCAACGTATGATTTATGAATTATAATTAAGATTATTTGGAGGATTTTTAGCTGCAACTTGGTATTAATTTTACATGGATATTTTTCGTATTTATAGCAAGCAATATTGTGTGTACTCAATATTGCTTTCAGACAACCATCGCACGAACGATTTGTAATTTAGATTCCCCCCCCCCCGGAATGTGCAAAAGCAAAGAGAAGCTAAGATATAAAGCACATATATATTCTATCTAATTTTTGCCTGTTATATTATTATAACAATATCGAATGAATAGATTTGAATTTTTTGGGTAGGCATTTATAGAACATGAGCCATTTTAACATTAAAATTAACCTGATTAATAATTGTATTAATGATGAAATGAGTATAAAATACAATTTATCGCGTAAAGTCTTACATCTAACTTAAAATACCGAAATAAAGAGGAAAAAAACGTCTGTGCAAGTCTCTAAAAAATAGTCAGAAATACAATAACAACTATCAATTCTTTGCATTTTTAATGCAAAATCAATTAAATATTCTCACTTAGTTACGTAGTTCACATGTATGGGAAATTTTACTAATAATAAAAGTACGAAGAAGAAAGGATCAAATAATACGATACGCTTATAAACTATTTTAAGAACACGGCTATCAGTGCAATTTACTCTAATTATACAAGAATTCTTTTTTATTTAATGATTCCAGACATTGGTGTTTATTTTCATCGGCAACAGAATAGTAAATATTTATTCGTCCCCTACCGACGAAGTCGAAGGGGACTTTAGGTTTGCACTCCGTCCGTCTGTCTGTCCGTCCGTCCGTCTGTCAATCCGTCAGTCCGGCAAATCAGCTTTCCACACTTTTTTTCTTCATTCTTGGAGATATTGATTTGATGTTTGGTATATAGTTTTATCATGACAAATTATAGATCAAGTTCGAATTTTGTTCCGGTCTGATGATTTAGTCCAGAGTTATCATGGTCCCTATCTAATGTTAAAGTACTACATTTTGTATATTAAACCATATTTCTGTACAAAGAGAGATAACTCATTTTTTTAAAGACATTCTTTGGTTAATTGTTTGAAGTGTTTTTTATTTTGTATAAACTAATTTTCTGAATGCTGTATGCATAAAAAAAAATTATGAAGTGAAAGATCATAATCTATTTTTATTAAGGTATATATTTCATTACATTACATTGTGTATAGATAAAAGTTGTTGACATTTTATAGATAAGTTACAAATCTATATTAGTTTGTGACAAATGAAAGAATATAATATTTGGAACTATTAATTATATTTGATTATAACTTGAAAATAAATATACATTGTATTACATCATATCTAATTTTAGAGAACTATTAATCATATCTAATGTTTTTTTCACTCATATAATCAGTTTTCCACACTTTTTTTCATCATGCTTGAAGATATTGATTGATAATTGGTATATAGGTTTATCATGACAAGTTACAGATCAAGTTCAAATTTTTGTTTCGGTCTGATAATTTTGTGCAGAGTTATGGTCCTTGGACTTGAAAAATTCACTCATATAATCAGTTTTCCACACTGTTTTTAGTCATGCTTGAAGATATTGACTTGATATTTTCTTTTTGTTTACACCATGACAAGTTATAGAACAAGTTAGCATTTTGTTCCAGTATAATGAATGTTTACCCGGTAGGGGACTATGTATTGCCATGCAATACTCTCAGAATGCTTGTTTTTCAATATGTTTTCATTTTACTTTGATAGCCGTTGAAAATAAATGAGAAGATTGCCTCTTTCTCACCCAATATGAATTCCAATATCTCTCATCTTTTCCAAAAAAATGCTGCTATAATGATCGAAATAGATTACTTGGATAATAATAACTAATTTTAAAATCGTGCAAGAACTAATGAGAAATCAACACAATTTTGACAAGTTAACGTCAATTAACAACATCAGTAACGCGTGTTTTAGAAAGTCTTTCATAGATATTATTTTAATTATTCCAAATTTATGTATAAGAAAATATTCTTTTTTTTTTCGATATATAAACAAAACAAAAACAACACTTAAAACTAACAGAAACGTAAATCTATATCAAGAATATGAAGGGCATGTCAACTCAGTTCGTGTAAGGTTTGTTTGATTCATGCACTTGTGCATTAACTTAACAATCTCATATTGAATCACAAACAAAGTGTTCTAGAAACGGATAAATCGTGTTCAAGTAAAAAGTTCAGCTATTTTATTGCAGACATGCAATTCGATTTCTTTAATTTTATCGTGATGAAAAAATAATCTCAGGCATTAAATGATACCTCCAAAACAACACTAACGGTTGAGTTACGTACCAACCGGACCTGATACGTAGCAAATCGAGAAACCTCTATTGGACGGTTTAGAATGTACGTTTTGATATTTCACTGATTAAGATTGGCATAGGGTTTAGTGGTCCAAAACTAGTTTAAGCCAGTCCCATATTCATCCAACAGTCACAAGTCAGGCACTTTGTCACTGCTCGTCTTTACATGTAGTCGCGTTTTATGTTTATGTCCTTTTTGAAATTCGGCGTTATTGACAGCTGTTTGGTAGTCTCTTGTATTAAGTTCCGTCTCAAATGGTCTAGACGAATGATTTAGAGTTTGACATAAATATATATATTGTATCGACAATTGGCATCTTTTATTCATAAACAAAATTTGAAAATGGATTATGTTCTTTTCCAGTTAATTATCAAAATGAATGAAGAAAACGGGAATGTGGACTACAGCGACAACTTTGATACACCAGAAGAAACTATTGATTTCTTCTCTATGAATCCAATTACTTTGCCAATAGATAAAGAATTCCATATTTTCATATCGTACAAGACTGTTGAACCAGATCGTCTAATTGCACTGAAGATAGACAAACTGTTACGGAGCAAAGGCTTTAAATGCTGCCTCCACGAAAGAGACTTCCTTCCGGGAGATTTAATTGTACATAATATAGTTCAAAACATTGAACGATCTGTTAAAGTTTTGTTTTTGCTATCAGAACAGTCCCGAGCTAGTGAATGGTGCCAGTTTGAGTTAAATGTTACAGAGACTATACACATTCAGGAAAGAGGATACAAACCAATCATCTTAAAGCTTGATGAGTGTGACCTTCCAGATACAATGAAAAGATATACGTACCTTCCTGCAGTCAGTCCTCCTGAAAAATGGATTGGTCGACTGTCAAAAGCAATCAATGACCAAACGGGTATATCGAATTTTTTTTGAATGTCACATAAAAAAAAAGTATTAAAACAAAATGAACGAAGACCAGACACATTGCTTCTTGCAGAAATGTTTAAAAGAATATATTTGAAAAAAATCAATGATATAATACAACATTTACATAACTATAGCAGCTTACCTGGCGAACTGAACCCTCTGTCTTTGGTGATATTCGTGTTGCTCATTCTTTAGTTTTTTGTTTAGTGTTTTGTTGACTTTTGTTTCGCCTTTTCGGCGCGTTTTAATTTTGGCCATTGTCTATTTTGTTTGTCTTATGTTTTAAGAGCCTCATTTGTATCTTCTTTTTCTTTTGTAATGGTCTTTTCTTTAATTACTAACTTAATTTCAAATTGGCATTTCCGTGCATAAATATTAATCACGATACTATAACAACTTTATTGAGGAAGTTTCTAATAACTTCAATATTATTTAAGGTCCTTTGTAGACATAGTTCTGTCACATTTATTCATAGATTCATTGATAAATTAATAATTAACGATATTTTACTATATTGTTGTGTCCCATTCTTTTCTTCAGATCACCTGATTACAAACAGAAGAAACATAAAGTTTGTTCCAGTGCCATGCATTGATTATAATCGCAACAAGGAGCACTCGATAGTAACGTGTCGATATCCACATGTCTGCGTAAAATATATTGTAAGTGATGAGTCTTGCGACGGAAGTTGCGGCAAGAACCACGATTTAGTTACCGATCAGTCACGAGAGATACTTGTTGATCTTGGGTTCATTACTGATGGGAACCTTGATGCCCTTCTGCAAATGTATAGACAGAAATGCAAGGAGAAACTTGCTGCGATGCCAAACAACATAGTAACTGGTCCTTGTTGTTATTATAACCACAAAGGATGCTTGCTAGGTGATTTTCATTGCCCGTTCACACATATATGTAAAGATTGGTTTGTAGGTAGATGTAGAATGGAGAAGTGCAGATTTTCGCACCATATATTGAACGACCACACAAAAAAGTTGCTAGAAATATTTGAAATTGATACTGATCAAGAGGCAGACATTATTCTTAATACATACCGTGCAAAGTATCCACACAAAAAGTTCATACAACTACCAACCCAATCAATATCAAAAACAACGTTCCTAAAAGACAACTGGCTGTCACTTGTTGGAGGAGTATTAACAGTTGTAGGAGTTACTGCATTTGTTGTTAAAAAGATATAATTTAATTGTAAATCAGTATTCTTCTAAAAATTTTCCTTTAAATGTTTATCAGTTTCTATAATTTATAATTCTCTTAATCAATATTCCTTGATGTAAGATATTTATCTCAATAAATATAGTGAAGTCCAAGTTAAATAATAGAAGCCAGTTAAACGTTATATACTAATGTTATGATTATGTATTTATACACCATATATGATTTGTTTGTTTTTTATTTATTTATTTTACCTATATTTGTTGGAAAGATATTATATAAAATCTCTGATTCCTTGTCTGCATTTTGCTTGGCTATACTTAATGTCCATTTTGTTTTCATCAGGTATTCAACGTTTGTAACAGGTTCTGGACTATAAAATATTTTGGCCTCAAGCATTACTGAAGATACATTTATTGTGCTAGGGTCGTCTTTAACTTTCAGTGTTGTTTTTTTTTTATTATTCATAATTGTTTATTTCTGTGATAAGTTTTAAACTTTATCCAATTCAATGATTTAAACTATAAATTGTTTTAAATAGCATTAAAGATTAAACAGTTATCAATAAAGCCATTTGTTGTATATATTTATCTTTTTCCATTTGAATGTTTAATGAAAAAAAATGTGTAGTCGTATTTTAATATTTCTTGTTTTTACACTAAGAATTAAATTGAAAAGATATCACATCTACATTGAAAATAGCTACCCGTATTGTTCTACAGTGTCAAATTGTAATAATGAACCATGAAATATGATTTAAGTATACTCTTTATTGTTTGCACACGACTTCACCATTTGATCATTGTAGAACCTCGACCATTTGATCATTGTAGAACATCGACCATTTGATCATTGTAGAACCTCGACCATTTGATCCTTATAGAACCTTGTGCGCTTATTTTATTATCAATACATTGCAACTGCTGTAAGAAAATCTGTACTTCATCTACAGTAATTTGTTTTTATGATATTGGTATCATGTGATAATAAAGATAAATGTTCTTCCAATGTTTGGTTGTCTGCTGGTAAACGGTATTAACCATTTTATAAGATATTAGTGTATGCAATAATTTCAAGCTGTTGTCTGTTACGCGTTCCGTTTCATATGAAAAAAAAAGAGAATTTTGGCAGACTTACATGTTAAGCATGTTTCTGGGAGATCTTTCTATAACCTGGGACAATTGTACAAAAGGAGAACATAAGAACAAACTTTAAAAATTATTTAGAAAAGGTTTGACTCATCAGATCGTCACGAATCACAAAATAAACAAATAAACAAACATATAGTACCGATCTAAGAGTTCTAGCAGAACTAATAAATATTGTTTTGTATTTTCAATAATTTTGTCGTTGCACCCGAAACTAAATATATTGCAATAAGATTGTTTGACTGTTCTTTGCGTAACGTTCAATGGCAAACATTTAAAAAGACACATTTAAATATATTGTTATTTCTTTAAACAACAACATTTGAAATAAAAATGAAAAACATCCATTGAACGTTGGGTGTAAGGAAATCGTGAGATATTTGGAAACGTATTTTCACGTTGGACAAATTTTTATTTCAGCATACCAGGAAGGAACTTACAAATGATAAGTAGTATTCAAAGAACAGTAATTAACCGATCTTATTTATAAATTATACAATTTCAATTTAAATACAATTAACGTTCCCATAAAAAAGGCATGAAAACAGTAAAAAAAAACAGCTTCGAATCTTTTAACAAAAATCTCCTATGTTTAAAATAAACAATTTCGACGGTGCGTACATAATGACTGGCACTCTGTCAAAGTGTAAAACATGATATAACTCTTCATTCCATATTGAGATTTTTGAAAGTCAAAATTTTCATGTAGGATTTTATATCTGGAATTTAAGTTTATTCAATCAAAATAAAATAAAAATATTGACATTTCTTTCTTTCTAGCTGGTTTTCGGGTATAATTAATTATTCAAATGGATTAATATGTTCATTTCAATTTGTCTATTATCTAACTTGAATTTAATTTGAAAAATATGTTTATACATAACACATAATTCTGATTTTTTTTTTACATAAAGAATTATTGGCTTTATGAATTTTTCCCTTAGGAATTCGATTCTAAGGATGACAGAAGAAAGGACGAGCAAGCGAAACACTTACTGTTCTTTTCCTGATGACAATTTGAAAGTAGCGTCAGAATTCATAGTCGTTAAACTAGTGTAGCCATAAATTGTAATGCGGTAGTTTTTAAACGAATTGTTTTATTCAGCTGTTGAACTTAAATAAATTACCTTATCGGTCAAACTTGGTTCGAGTAGATCCAAATCACGTAAACATTTTTTCTTTGTCTTAAATTAAAATCTCATTTGTACAATTAGTAAAAAAAACAGATTTAAAGTTTCAGTCACTTAAACCTGGTGGAAATCATAATTTTTATTCGATTTGGTAGAAGTCAAAGTTTTGCGATAAATGTTTCAAGCCATATCAATATACCAAGAGTGTAATTAAAATAAGTATAAGTTACAAGGTCAAGGTCAAAAGCAATACCAAAAGACATATTTCTATGTTGATCTGGCTTGATTAATATCAGCAATCTTTTGTAGCACTTTAACTGATTCGATATAAAACGCAGCAGCAAAGCCTTTTACCTTAAGTCTAAAATTTCTATGCTATGGTGTATAAATTCAAAAACTAAATCTCTACAAACAATAGACAAAAACAGTATTATGTTGCTGTTCTTCGTGTCCAAAGTCCGAGTGTTCAAGTCTGTTTAGTTTAAGACATATCTTGTTATACGACCGCAAAATTTTTTTTTGGCGATGTCTGCGTCGTCGTCCGAAGACATTTGTCGTCCGAAGACATTTTGGTTTCCAGACAATAGTTTGAGTATAAGTGTATTTAATTTATTGATAACAAGATCAACATTTATACCGATAAAACAATGTTCAAAGATCCAATAAAAATATGGAATTGGTAACCTTTTAGAAGAAGTTAATTTAACAAGTCTGGTCCACTAGATTTCCTGACGTCAGTATATATTTACATGGTAATTTCCCAAATAGAAGGTAAACATGGCCTTGAAAACTGATTAATCGACTCATCGAACTACAATGCATTGTTGGCTACTACGAGTTTACTACTACTTAAAACTGACTCTTTTTTTTTTATTTACATGGTAATTTCCCAAATAGAAGGTAAACATGGCCTTGAAAACTGACCAATCGACTCATCGAACTACAATGCATTGTTGGCTACTACGAGTTTACTACTACTTAAAACTGACAAAATCAAACGTTATTCAAAGGTCAAACGTCAAACATATGAAATTAACACTTTATCAATTTTGTGCGTCCGAAGCGTTTTTCTGGATTTACCCTTATCAGAAATAATGGGCAAATCATCACATTTGAAAGTCAGGGATGTATTAATGCGTAAAAGCTTTGGGAATTATATGATCAAAAGGGTCCTACGTAGAACAGCCAAATTCATCAAAGGTTAACTTTGCCGCATTAAGCAGTTAGAAACCCTTAGTTTCGTAATAGTTTCTTAATTTATCTGCGAGTAATGTTAGCAAAATATGTTATATATTATGTCAGTACCAAAGCACTGACAATTGAGCTTATGGTACCTTCGGGGACTAAACCTTGATTGATTGATTGATTGATTGATTGATTGATTGATTGATTGATTGATTGATTGATTGATTGATTGGTAATTGTCAGCACATAAAGGCTATATCGCGTTGACGCCAAATCTAGACATCCACATTAAAAAAAAAGTCGTTGAACCCTAAAATCAACGTGCATGATATTTGAGTTTTTCCTTTCTGTGTAGATAATATATAAATGTCTTCTGAAAATATTGTTGATCATTGTTTACATTACCAGATAACTCCTTAAACAATACTGTTACAGATAAAAATGACACAGAAACATTGTCAATGGGATGGTCGATATCGTAGCGAAACGATTTCCTTGTGCATAAAACATGTAAAATGCGTTTCTAAATACTCTTTATCAAGTATACTAGTGACTAAAGTTAGAAAAGCCTAAATTCTAATACGTTTGAGAGCAGGACAACCAGAGGACCCAAATAGAATGGCTAAAAATGTCAAATGTTAACTTGACTTAGCGAATTTTCGGGATCCTAGAAGGAATTCTTTACATGATTTTTTGGGGAATTCGATTATTAAGTGTTTATTTTTGGGGGAGAACTCTGTGTTTCAGCGTTTATTTTCCCAGGCATTCGGGATGACTCCCCTTATTTCCTCACCCTACCCTCCAATAAGAAGCACTGGATGCTGGGCGGATGGTACCTCAATGACTTATAGTTCGCCACTAGCAGCACCAACTCAATGGTAGTATGAAAGCAATTTGTTTTCCGTACTTCATTATTGTACTATCATTATCATGAGTATGGGGACGATAATGCTAAGTCTTTAGAAAACTTTTGCACTCTTGACGGAAAACAGAAATCTACTGCGTCAATTCAAATTCTAAGGAAGCCGTTCTGCTGTTTTGAAATGAACTACTTATAGTGACAAAAAGGATTTACCGTACAATGATGAACTTTAAAGTTCAAAGTCGCTGTGGATTTATTGAACAGAATAGATAGTTTCATTTTCGGTTTCATTTTCCGAAAGTATTCACGATTTCATAGTCACTGTGGTTGAATATTCTATAAATAGATATACAGATCACTAGCATGTATGTATCTAATTTATCTTTATAGATTTAGGTAATTTTAATTCTGATCAATGACTGTGGATATCATTAGGTATGTACTGCTTATGTTTTGTAATTTACATTCTAAATGGCTGAATTTTCTCTAATGAAAAATCGACCAATAATTGAAACATATGTTGTGTTTGTCATGTGATACATTTTTCTCATTTCAACAATGCATACATTCTCGTTACATATACAAATGATAATGCTTTGTCGGTCAGAATGGCAAATATCTTGAATCAGTTATTGGGTGTATTTTGACAAACGGAGTTTTACTGACCAAATCGATTTTGAGGGCAAAATTGTTATAATCTTCTCGAATGAATCAACGTATCTATAATGAGGTAGATGTAGATAAAACCCCAAAGGTAAGGTCGTGATATTTTCTGTATTTCGTTCTTGCATAATTGCTTGATTAAACGAAGAATAAACGTTTTATTTGTAATACCAGATTTGCATTTGATAAATGTGGGACCATTTCGCTTCTTGTTACATGATGACGTTGGACTTCTTGTAAATTTACACTACATGTTATGATCACATTGATAAACCGTGTAAATGTGCATAGAAAAAGTTCAAGAAGTAAGCTCAAGTAAATGAGTGAGCTTTATTGGTTGTCTTCAATATTTTAAAAATCATAAAAAGGTCATAAATATACCTATAAAAACGCATTGCGGAGAAACTTTTATCAATATTTTAATTATCATAGTCTTCTTTTACGCAAGTTATTATATGTATCTTAAAATGTCCAATACATGAGAATACGTTCAATCAATCATTAACTAGACACAGAACAGGGAGTCTGGTTGATGTAGCTTTTTGTTTAGGCCTAATAACAAAATTTGTAGTTCCACAAGCATGCAGAAAAAATAAGGTCAGAAAGGTAAGCAAATAATTTTATTTATCAAAGATTTTCACTGGTTTAAACACGGGAAACAGTCTAACTTTAATACAAATAGTAGTGCTTGTTTAGAAATTAAAAAAAAAGTTTTGGGTAGGAATGACAAATTAGGGAAGGTAAGATGAACGGAAACACACTATTCTTATTAGGCTTTTTACTAAAGTGCAGCAAAAATCAGTATACTTTAAGAGTTGTTCTGTGAACTATTTGGTTAGGAAATTTATATTATGCCTAAAAACGACAAAACAATTTATCGTAAGATTTTCTTAAACAAAAGTAAATTATTATATACAAATGTACTTTGTGCATTACTCAAGATCGTGATTACTAGGACTATTCATAATGTTGAGGTATGAAATCTATTCAGCAGCAATGATGAAGATATTATATTGTAAG